CCTTATAAGTACCTTTTCAGTTCCTATAAGTAGGAACTGAAAAGAGCCTAAAACAAAAACCATGTTGTTAGACTGGCAACTTAAAAAAAAAAAAAAAAAAAAGGTGGGAGGAGGAGGATTAGGGGGAATTGAACATCTTGAGATACCTTCAATGGCAATGCGTTTTTTGGGCCAATCCTTTGATTCCCGAGATATTGATTCTTTGACACGGATACTTATCACTAAATCAGCCAAATTAAATTCTAAAGCATAAAATCGCAGCAATTCCACCCAGAGCTGCCCAACTGGTACTGAAGGCTGGTGTTTTATATCAAATATTAAAGGCACCTATAAATAGTAAAGAGAAACATATAGGTTATTTTAGATGTCAGCTCAATCTAAAAAATTAAAAATCATTCAAACATCAAATTGAAAAATCCAAAAAGCCTCTGTTAGCAAAGTTAGGAGTTTGACAATCCATCTACAGAAATCAAATTCTAGGCTCTATTTTGCTTGTGATGAAATAGCATCACTTCACTGCACCCCTGGTCTTAGAGATCATTAAATCCAGTCATTATCACAGAACAGACAGCAATTTCACCTAACCAGACGGCACATCTAATTTGCAGTCTTAATAACAGGCGGAGAAGCGCTTGCATGGGTTGCTAATATGCTCAGCGCAGACCTCTTCCTGTCGCTAGAGGGCAATGTTACAGGTACAGATCCAGAAATGGACAAGGCTAAATGCATAGAGAAAAAGGAAAAATATTCCTCCCATTGCCCTGACATGCTCTAAACACACTAAATCTGCCAGTGGCAATTAGTTTTAAAATCAAATAACTCTTGCTATCAGAAATTGATACTAACTATACACTCACAGACTTTTGACAAGTTCAAATAACATACTTATATCAGAAAGCACATAGGACTTGGGGGGGGGGGGTCCAAATAGGGATTTTGCCACTTCATAGCTCTTAATCGCTCTGCAATGTAGCTTCTTCATTCTCAGGTTGGCAGTACAGCACAATAGGTAAGGGAACTGGCTGAGAAATTGGGACAAGCTTAGTTTGAAACCCAAACTCTGCCAAGTACTAGCTGTGTATGATCCTGGTCAAGATCTATAACCTGTCTAAGACTTGGTTTCCTCATCTGACAAACGGGGATAACAGTACCCACCTCATAGGGTTGTTGGGAGGACTGAGTGAGATAGTGTCTGTAAAGTGCTTAGCACAGTGCCTGGCACACAGTGTTCAAAAAATGGTCGCTATCATTATCTGCAGAGTAGGGATGATACCACCTATAACACAGGATAGTTATGAGGATTAAATCAGAAACAAGGGAAAGCATCTGGCAGACTTGGTTGCTCTTTATGTTTTCACATAGGTATAGTCTTTTTAAGTACAAGAAATCCATATATCATTGAAACACAACGTCACAACTATAAGATGCTCTTAAGAGGTAATCTAGTTCAACTCCCATGTTACAACAGAAGGAACTGATGCCCCAAGAGTTCTGTGACTTGTCAGGAGGTCCCACTGCATGTCAGGGGCAGAAGGAAGTTTCCTGATCCCAGTACAGTGCTTTTCCACCACGCCACATGCAACTTCCACAATGTCTACAACACACTTAATTTCACAAGTGGCAGCATGATTCCTCTCTCCAAATAGCATAAAAGTGTAAAAATAAAGTACTGAATGAACCCTTTCTTCTTATCATTCCTAAAATTCACATTGAAAATTTAATTTTCCTCTATGGTATAAGAATTTGTCACTTTCTTATATCACACTTCAAGTAAGTGGTATGTTATTTCATTAATCAGCAAATCTTAACCACAGAGGTTCTGTTCAGTTAAGATAAAGTCATCTGGTGGGTTTACAAAGCAGAACAGATTGAAAATTAAAGTTGTCTAGGGCCCAATCACTGTTTCGAGGACATAAAGAAAACCCCCAGAAGTTGAAAGCCTGAAATTTCACCTCTTTATCCATATCCTTTTCAGCTTTACAAAGGATTTTTAAGCATCTCACTGGAATGACTTGAAAATGCTGTAACATGGAACTTAAAGACCTTTGAAATACATAGACTACTGGCACTTACACTATCTTTTAAAAGTAAAAAAACATTCTTTTCAAATAAAGTAAGAACAATAGCTAACATTTACTGAGTGCTTACCACATGCTTGGCACTGAGTTAAGCATTCTATAAACCAGTGACCCTATGAGAGGGTACCAATATTATCCCCATTTGTAGGGAGGGAACAGGGGCACATAAAGATGAAGTCACTTGCCAAGGACACACAGCTAGGAAGTGGGAGCTGGGGTACACATTCACATGGTCTGGCTCCTAACCAGATAGCATCCCCAATAGAAGCAAACATGGTGCTGTTCTGGAGATGGGAAGGCTACTCGAGGACCCTAGAAAACACAACTGGAACATATATGGTTCACTGCTATCTCCTCAGCTTAGGCACGAGTAAGACACGGACTTGTTAAGGGAAAGCTGGGTTAGAACACTCGTCAGAAGGATTTTGAGGGTTATTACTGACATTTCATTCCAAAAGGTTAAGGGAAAGTTACGGGGTTTGGGACCATTTGCCAATTTGGAGCAGAAACCTATTCTTCTTACCAGTAACATATTTTGTTCCAAATTCTAAGGACAATTTTTTATGTATAAATTCCCCTGCACACCCTCAACAGTACAGGACCAATACATTAAATCATATATTTATTCAATGTTATTCTAATAGTTTGAAGTTAATGTTCCATACACTTTAACCTCATACCATTTAAGGCCTGTACTGTTGAGGATATGTAGGGATTTATTTACCTTTCAATTCTCAGTATCTTTCAAAAAGCCTCTGCACACAAAAGAAACCATATAAATAAATAGATTTAATGATCAAATTTTTTACCTTTTCTCACTATCTAATCAAAGTATGAACCAGACTCAAAAAATGAAGTAGTCATGAAATAGTAAGTCAGTATTGGAGGTTCTTCAAAAAGTTTAAAATAGAATTACTATGTGACCCAGCTATACCACTTCTAGGTATATACCCAAAGAATCAAAGTCAGCTTACTATGGAGACACCTGTACACCCAAGTTTACTGCTGCACTATTCACAATAGCCAAGCTAGGAGAAATCAGCCTAGGTACCCATAAAAGGGAAAATGAGTAAAGAAAATGTGGCATATATACACAGTAGAGTTTTAAATCAGCCATAAAGAAGAATGAAATTATTTTGTTTGCAGGAAAAGCTCATCATGTTAAATGAAGTAAGTCAGCCTCACAAAGACAAGGAGCTCATGTTTTCCCTCATATGTGGATTTGGGTGTAGGGGAGAGGACATCAAAGTAAAAGAGGGACTGTCAGGGATGTGGGAAGGAAAAAGGGGGAGCAGAGAGGGGAATAAGAAAGGGCAAGAGATGGAAATATGATCAAAGCACATTAGATGTAATATGGAAATGTCATAATGAAACCCAGTTTTTTGTATAATTAATATATGCTAATAAAAATTGATATGACAGTTAGGGACAGAAGACAGGAAGACTGATCAATTAATAAATTCCACAACTGACAACTAAAATAAAAATCAATGGTACAAATAGAAATGAGAGAAAACAGACCTGTCCCCTCCTAACTGGCATTTCTTTCGGCGCCTCTTCTTTGGCTGTGTTTATGTCCCCAGCAGCATTATCCATGTATTCCCAGACCACAAAGTCTTTCTCAATGTCTTTAAGGTTAAAATTGCCTAGTTTGTTTAATGAGAATCCTTCAATCTAGGAAAAATTAGACATATATTATAATAAGGTACAAATACATTCAAATCTTGGAAAGAATGAAAAGGTGATACTCAGAATTCACTGAAAATATTAATGATACCATTTATGGACATCTTGGAGATGTGTGAATTTTAAAATATTTTTAGAGAAGAAAACAATATACTGATTTGTAAAAGAAATAATGACTTTGTGAAATAGTTTTTTAGCAAATATTCTGGGCTGGGGGAATATTTCAGTCATAGAGCGCTTCCCTAACATGCATGAGCCTATGGTTCAACACAGAAAATGAGTAAATAAATAAATGTAAGAGATGACGACATGACCTACTGGCAGAGCCATGGGTTCTGGAGTAACATTAACTGGACACAAATCTCAGCTCTCTCATGTACTAGCTATATGGCCTTGTAAAACTGAGACCTTGCTCTCGGCCATAACTTCCTGTAAACGGGAAACACTAGAACTTCCTTCATGGCTTCATGAGATAGTTGTGTTGTCAATTGTCTGTTTGTACTATACTGCATAGATGACTACTCTAAGACATCTAAAGATTGTTAGTATAGATATTGAGAAGAAAAGAGAAGCAATTCTAAAAATTAGACCCATCTAAATTGAAAATAATTTTCAGTATTAATACTGGTTAAGCCCCAAAGTTCCCAAGTACATTTTTCCAAAGTATAATAATACACATGCTATTAATGAATGTTAACACAAGAGAAAACAGTTTGGGCTCAAAACCTCTGAGAAACACTGAAGAAAGCTAAACAGCTCTCTTTACTGTATGATGGAACTTATCACAGCCTTACATACAGGCTAACGAACATAATAAAACTGTGGGGTGGGGAAGGGAATGGATATGCTATCTCATTCCCCAAATGTATTTCTATACCAACAGACAACGTTATTGGCTTAGCAGACAAAACAATATTCTGAAGCATGAGATATCATGTGGTTCTACTCACAGTTGTTTCCTTCTTACTCAAGAAGAAAGTTAGTCCCTCCCAGGATCTAATCTAATCATTAGCTATTTCTCTGACCCACTGTCTATCCTCTGGTTAAGAGTTAACACCTACCAGTCCCTCTACCTAGAATGCTCTCCCCTAGCAGTCACAAGGATCACTCTCCCCACCTAACCTGGGCTCTGCTCTATCATTTTCTCTAAATCGTTCCCCCTTCTTTCTTAACCCTACTTTATTTTTCCTCACAGAAATTAGGAATCTCTCACTCCACTGAACATACCACTTCATGGGCCAGGACTCTGTCTTGTTCATTACTCTAACACCACACCCAGAACAGTGGCTGACCAGGTAAATGTTCCATAAGGATTTGTCGACTCATGGAATAAAACACTTTGGAAAATACTAGGTATGGAGACTGTTTCTTTGTTATACATACTCAATTTTTTTTTCAGTTGCTGGTTTGCTTTTCACATTCTTTTTTGTTTTGAGACAGGTCTATGTAACCCAAGCAGGCCTCAAACTCACAATCCTCCTGTCCCTCCAGCCTCCTGAGTGCTGGGACTACAAGTGTGACCCATGATGACCAACTTTTTTTGTTTTCTTAATGTTTTCTGAACACCTAAAATTTTAAGTCTGCTAAAGTTTAATTTACTAACATTTGTCTTAGAGATATAGCTTATGTCTTTAATCTTCTAAAAAATTACTGCTGCAAAGACTTTTCACCTGGGAACTTCATCTTTTGACTTGTCCATTTAGATCTTTGACCCATTTTGAGTTAATTTTGGGGTATGATATAGGATAAGGGCTTAATGTTCACTTTTTTCCTTTTGAATACCAGTTTTTCAAGCATCATTTCTTGAACAGACTTCCTTTCTACCTCAAAGAACTGACTAGGCACCTTTATCATGACAGTATCAAATGTTCTAATCCTCAGAGACTTAGCCTATCTGTACATTTACCTGGATGTTATTTAATTCCTTAGCAATTTTCATGTTAATCGGCATGTACCACCATGCCTGGCTTAATGGAATTGTTTAAAACTTCATTTTCCATTTGTTTGCTGCTAGTTTATAAAAGTACAACTGATTTTTGTATATTTTGTATATTAGTCTGTGTCCTATGATCTTACTATTAGTTCTAGGACTTGTTTTCTATTTAAAATAAAAATCCTATCATCTGCACAGAGAAAAATGTTTATTTTTGCCTTTCAATTTGTACTCCATTTTCTTTCTTTCTTTTTCCTTATTGCAATGGCTAGGAGTTCCTAAATATGCTGAATATGAATAGTGTTTTGTGGGGAGGAAAGTGTGTGCACAACTTCCTTTGTTTCTAATAACACAGTGAAAACACCCAACATTCCACCACTAAGATGGTCATAGATGTTTTTTACAATTGTCTACTGTCAGGTTGGGAAAGTTCCCTTCTATACCTGTTTCCAGAATGTTGTTATTAGTTATTATTACTATATATAAATGTTGAATTTTGTGTTTCCCCCACCTCTATTTACAATCATGCAACTTTCTCCTTCATTCTGCTAGGTTCAGTTATGTTGGTTTTTGAATGCTAAGTCAACCTGGTATTCCTGAAAAGTGCTCTTGTTTAGGACATATACTTTTTGCATATTGCTGAGCTGATCCACTAATATTTTGCTATACAGCTTTCCTGTTGTATGTTTTTGCCTGTTTTTGGCATTAAGGAAACTCTGGCCTTGAATTTCTTTTCTTTTCTTTTTCTCTTTGTGGTATTGGGAGTTTAAACTCAGGGTCTCACGCTTGCAGGCAGGCACTCTACCACTTGAGCCACTCAGCCAGCCCCATCTCCTGTTTTCTGAGAATTGGCATTATTTATCCCTTATGCTGTACGGAATTCATGAATGAAGTCATTTAGGCCTGGAGATTTTCTTTGCAGGAAGGGTTTTAATTACAAATTCAACTTCTTAAGTGGACATATGGCTATTTAGGTTAATTTTTGCAGATCATTTTGTATTTAGTATTATAAAATGCTAATTCCTTGGCATAAATGTTCATAATGTTTTTATATTTTTATCCATTTATGTCTCTAAGATCTGAAGTGATAAACCTTCCATCCTTTATTTTAGTATTCTCCTAATCAGTCTATCAAGCTTGTTAATCAAAGAAAAATCTGGTATCATTGATGAATAAACAATTTAGTTTTCTCTACTTTCTATTTATCTACTTTGCTCTTACCTGTATTATTTTCTTTTATCTACCTTTGCCCTTTGACTTCTAGCTTCTTAAGGTGGAACCTTAGATCACTGACTTTTTTTATTTTTAAATTTAAGGTAATAAAATAAACCTGTGGACTCTATCTTAGCCGCATCTCACAAATTTTGATATCCTGAATTTTTTTAAAACAGTTCAAAATTCTCTGTCTCTGTCTGTCTGTCTGCCTCTCTCTCAGCCCAGGCTGGCCTCCCTCCCCTTTGCTATGTTGCCCAAGCTGGCTTCGACTTTAGGATCCTCCTGCCTCAGCCTCAGTGTAGGGATCACAGGTGAGCAGCACCACATCTGGTTCAAGCTATGCCCTCTACACACATCCCTTCTGTGGTACTAGGAAGTGAACTCAGGACCTCAAGCATACCAACCACTTGATCCACACCTTTCCTCTTTGCATTTAGTTTGTTTTTCAGATAGGGTACAGTACTAACTGCCTGCTGGTCTACTGTCTCTGCCTCCTGAGTAGCTGCAATTACAAAGCATGTGCCACTACACAACTTATGCCTCTTAAAAGGGGTGTTTAATCTAATAAGATTTAAGATATCACTGTTATCATTGGTTTGGGTCTCACATTTTAACATTTGTTTGGTTATCCACCTAGTTCCAAGGTTTCCATTTGTTCCTTTGCACATTTTCTATTTCTGTAGCTGGTATTTCCTATGTCTTCATTTATTGGAAGTGTTTTTCTTTTATCTCATGGCGCAAAGCTATAAAAACCCTCTTTAAAGTATCTGATGGCTCCATCTCTGGGGCCGGTGCTATGGTTTGGATCTTACATAACCTCCAAAGGTTCACATGCTAACAGCTGGGTCACTGGCTTGTACTACTGTGAGGTAATGGAACCTTTGGACATATGGCCCCACTGGAAGGAAATCCGTTCACTGGGGGCATGTTGTTGAGGGGGACAGTGGGACCCAATCCCCTGTTCTTTTTGGATCTGACCACAATGAAGTGAACAGTCTCCTTTGCCAACTGCCCCCGCTGCCCTGATGCATGGTTACCACCACAGACCCAAAGTGTCAGGCTAACTCTAACCTCTGCAACCATGAGCCAAAATAAACCTTTCCTCCTCTAAGATGATATTCTCAGATGATGTGTCACAATAACATACTTCACATCTGTTGTTTTCTTTTGAGAAAAGGCCCCATTTTCTTGGCTCTATGTATGTCAAATAATTGTGGATTGTATTCTGGACTTTATAAATAGTGTTTCACGTAAAAATTCTAGATCCTTTAGATTTTTTTAAATGTTGGCATTTTCATTTTAGCAGGCAATAAATTTGGTTAAACAAACTGCAGAATGTCACATTTCCAGTAGACAGCTGTTTAGCAGTGCTTTGGGGGGTTTTTTTGTTTGTAGTTGTTTCTTGAGAAAGAGCCTTGCTACGTAGCCCAACTTGGCCTCAAATTCATGATCCTCCTGCTTAGAACCTGAAGTGCTGAGATGACAGATGTGTGCCACCACACAAGGTTTAGGGCAGTTCTTTAAGCTTTCATTCCTAACTACTTTCAGTCTGCCCATAGACATATGGCTTAGGAATCTGTAATTAATTTTGGAAAATTCCCAGTCATTATTAATTAAATATTTCTTCTTTTCTTTCTTCTTCTATTCTGATTACCCATATGCTACGACCTTGAGTAACTAGCCCCCAGTTGATAGGCACTGTTTCTTCCTCCCTCTACTGGAAAGGGAGGTAAATAGGCTTTTAGCCTGAGGCTTTGTTTGACTGACTAGGAGTTGGGGTATGTTTCTTTGCTTGTACCTATGGGCATCAAGAGGCTATAACTTCCTGATTGTCTTGTTTCTGACTCTCCTGTCATCTTTGCATTTACTTAGAGATATCTTAAATAAGGTCTGAGATTTGCAGTTCTTTCCATTGTGATCCCACTACACAGGAGCCCTGATAATATGGTAATAAGGTATGGGGAGAGGAAATACTTTACAGCCCTAACATTCGGTCTGCCTTTTGGTGAGCCTGTACTCTTTTAAGTGATGACCCTCACAAATACTTCTTAGTTTTTCTCTGCCCACCCTACCCCCCTTAGATGAGACAGGGAGGTCAGGGTACTTTTCTTCCTTTAGGTAGGCTAGGCCCCAGTAAAATCCAAGGAGGTTAGACTCTGGTAACAGTTCCCCTAGGGCAAGCTTTTGTTAACACAATGCTCTGGGTGTATTTCAAAATGGCTAGTTTTTGGCTCACCCTTGAAGAAGCATTAGGGGATCTTTCTTGGGGTTCCTGGAGTCAAGTCTCAAAAGTTTGGGGGTACTCCCATAATGGAATGAGTTTTTTAAGTCTCAAACTTATTAAACTAAGCCTCCAAAAATGTATTAATTACATGGTAAATTTTTATACCCTGGTAGATATTGGTCCAGTAGAGGGATTCTGCTCTGTGAACTGTGATTCACTGTGTTAGCCTGCTCTCCACTTCTGGGAACAGTGGTCTGCTCTGGGATAGATCTAAGAAAAACCGTTGGCTTTAGTTTATTCAGCTCTTTCTTGTTATGAGGGCAGGAGTGATGACTTCTATGTTCTTTCCATGCTGAAGGGGACTGGTTTAGGAGTTAGCCAGAGACATGCTGAAATTTTATACAGAATTAAAGGTCCACTTCTCTGTATTCCTCCTTCCTGCTTTTACCCTCTCTTATGTTCTGATGGCTCTAGTCCTCTGGCCAGAAAGAGGACTGGTATTGCTATCACAGTTGCCTTAAGGGACAGAGCCACAGAAAAAGTCACCTGTATCAGTCACTTGCTCCGAGTTTTTTGACTCCCCTCCAAAGTTTGTTTGCACTGGTTCAGTCTCCAGAAAATCCACTGTTGTTTTTGTATTCTGTCCAGAATTGATAACTGTTATGTGCAGAAGGATCCCTTGGTTAGAGTTCATACCTCCATACCGTAAGTGGAACTTGACACTCTATTAAAGAAGAAAAGGACTAACATTTGTTCTCCTACCTTGTTGCAGGAGCTTTATGCTTGTTATCTCATTTATGGTTCAGATGACTTAGGTACACAGATCAAATAACTTGCTCAAGGTCCCAAAAACAGAAGTGGCAAAACCTAGTGAGTTTCAGTGCTGTCAAACTTACAACTATTCTTTTTTTTCTACTATCTCGCATCTCCAAAGCACAAATAACTACTTGCTAAGGATGAGTATACATAATACATAATAAGGCAGATACCAAACAACATGTACCAAGAAACTAGTAAAATACCGTCATGGGGGTAAAACATGCTGAGAAGACAGGGTCAAACTTATTTAAGGTTCACAACACATTATGATTAACTTTAACCATATCAAATTCTAATGACATTAAAATGGGAATTTGATAGGAGCAAAAGGCTGGAAACTCCCCTTTCCGACATGGAAGATATCTCAGTAGGCTGCACAGAATGGCTAAAATCTTTCTCCTCACTGGCTTTCTTTTTTTTGAATAGGATTCTGGCAGAATCCAGCAAACCAATGTCTGAGTAACTTATAACACCGAGAACTACAGCTCGTTTAGGTTCAAAAAGTACAGTAGGTATTATTTGATATGCAGAATCCAATCCAGTATTTGATCACCACATACCAATTTTTGTTATTGAATCTTAAAAATTCGAATGATATAATCAAAGTCAAATTCAGTGCCGCTTCAAATTTTGTAGTTTCATTGTCAAGGAAAATTTACCCTGGCCATAAAAAAGGGTATTCATGCTTCTCTTAAGCAAACCATCAGGAGCATCTCATCATCTTTTGTTCTGTGCCCTCACATCAATGATGAATGATTGCTCAGAGATGATCAGGACACATGAAAATGCAGCTCTGACCCCGGAAGACAGCAGTGAGCAAGGCCACATATCCAACTTATTCCCAGGTTCTTTGGGGCACATGATTTCATTTGTTTTGGTCTCATCCTAAACTCCTGTCTCTTGGATCAAGGTGAAAAGAAAAACTTCAAAGACTTTCACAGATATCTACTTGGATCTGGTTAACTTTGTTCTCTCTTTTTTTTCCACCAAGGGAGTAGTCTCGAAGAGATACCCTTTATGGCCTTGAAATCTTTCTTTTTATCATTATGGGCACAAAGAGCTACCTATAGACAATGAGGCTATACAGCGTACTTTAATCCCTTATGCCAGGACAGAGTTTATAAATGGCTTATTCGACTTCAGTCTTTACTCCTGAGGCATGGCAGACAAAAGGTTCCTGCTTAATTCTCAATCTACTAAAGACCAGAAACAAGTTTTCTTATAATTATTTTTTATGTACGCCCACAGAACTATTGCTTTAGAACATATTCTCAAATGACGAGAAGCCTGCATGCAGTAAGAAAAGTAGTTTAAAAATCCAATGTGCCTAAGATTTTCACTAAGTGAGTCTTCCAGTGAAGGAACTACATACATAGGAGCATATCAAGATAAACATCCAGGGATAAAAAATAAAGTTTCTTTTTGTTTTTTAGAGCCAGGGCCTCAATAAGTAGCCCAGAATAGCCTTGAAATTGTGATCCTTCTGCCTCCTGAGTGCTAGGATTATATGTGTGTCACCATGCCCAGCTTAAAAATGAGGTTTCTGGGAAGAGAATAACATCATTTTGACTTTTCAGATAGCCTCTTTTTAAATTTTACTGTTTGAACAAATCAACTCAACTTTCATTTGTCCAGAGTTAAGAATGGTTCTATTACTAAAATATTAAAGTCTAATTCATCTTAAAGGTAACAACTACCAAGTTATTACACAAGAAATGACTATTAAGTTCTGAATTTTGTGGTATTAGTAGTAATCTCAATGATTCTATTTTCTTTTGTTGTACAGGTTATAAGAGGAAAAAAAAGAGCAAGTGAACAGAAATACAAAGTGCTGTAGCCCTAGCTTTTCAAAAGGCTGAAAAGACAGATTACTTGAACCTAGGAATTTTAGGCGGCATGGCAGACACAGTGTGGCCTTGTCTCAAAAATAAATAAATAAATAACTAATATTAATAAAGAAAGTTACAGTAAACCAAATGCTTTCGATACTCTGTCTGGGGATAGTACATAAATTCAAGTATCAAATTATAAAACTTACCCAAAGAAATAATCAAGTAATAAATTTAATACAAGTTCACATTCTCTTGTTTGAAACCCTCAGGTCCCACAGTTGTTTCAAAAACTAAGTTTTTCATAGAAATGTCATACAGAAACTCCATATTAAATAGCTATCTTAAACAAACAAACAAAAAATTTGTTTTTTCAAAAATGGAAGACAAGGTAGGTAAAGCAGGTCCTACCTGGGGATTGGTAACAGTGGGAGGATGTGTGAAAATGGAAAAATTAGATGTGTAGAAATTATTTTAAGAATGGGGGTGGGGGAGTAAAGGAGAATGATGGAGGGGGTGAATTTGACTAAGACACATTGTGAGCAGTCTTGCGAATGTCACAATGTACCCCCAATACAACAATATAATACATAAAATAAATATATATATGAATTTTTAAAAACTAAGTTTTTATACTCTAGAAAGGTAGTATTAGCCTTAGTAGGGTATGGGGCAGCATCTTATAATCAAATGTATTAACAACTCAGCAATGAAAGGTATGAGTACTCACACAGTAGAATAAATAAGTCTATTCTGGTTCTAATTAGGTTTGTAGATTTTGAAATTATGCATATGGGAACTGCAGATTACTACTATATATATAAGCAAAAATTTTCATACCCAGGATCCTAGATAAACAGGCAAAAGAGGCTCTTTCCTCTGTTGAAGAAAAAAAATGGCCATCAGTGCAAACACATAGGGTGGCAGGCCTCCTTCTTCAGGGTGGTCTATACTGCAAAGCTGCAAGGGAGAGAAAGGAAGATAAGCGTTCTTTCTGCGCCATTTATCATTTAAACAATGTGGCCTAAGCCTCTAGCTTCGATCCCATGTATTACATGATCTACAGTGACTTTTCACCCCGACTCCCTCACCCACACACAAGCACGGCACAGTGTGACAAAATAAAAAACTACACAACTTCCTTATTACTTAAACTTTTGCATCAACCACATACTGGGGTTTTGAGTGATGGTTCCTGTTTCAAATATTTGATCCTGTTAATTGAACTCACTTGTGGAGAACTCTAAAGTATTTTTTGCTATTTCACTTTTTGACAGCTACAACAAATCCTCAATTGATTAAAACACATTAATAAAGTAAAAATAATGACTCAGTTCATACAAGCCAACTGATTTTGATGAGTTCAATGGTCTTCTCATCTTAACTAACACCTTGAAAATGCATGCTTTGGTCCAAGGGGATGTGGAGAAGTAATGTGAGCAAACTCATCAGCACTGATGGAAATAACCACTAGAAAAGCACAAGCTGCTTGATTACAGGAGAAAGCATTCAGTTCCATTTAATTTAATTAATTTTTCAGTGTTGAGAAGTGGACCAGAAGGTTTGGCACATACTGGGCAAACACTACAAGGGAGGTACATGCCCAGCCCCTGGAGGTTTCTCTAACAATGGTACATCATAGGTCTGAGGGTGTGGCTCAAGTGGTAGAATGCTTTTCTAGCACACACAAGGCTCTGGCCCTGGGTTCAGTTACCAGTACCACAAAACAAAACAACACAGCACGAAAGATGGCCTATTGTAATTACTGATTGGCCCAGTTAAGAATGGGGCATCCTTTATTCATCCTGAAGGCAAAAAACTAGAACTATCTCTTATTACTGCTATATCCTAATGTTCTTACTTTTGTCTATAAGGCACCTTACAGAATTTTCTTTCTTTCTTTTTTTTGAGACAGTGTCTCTCATGTTTCCCAAGCTGGCCTCAAATTCACAATCTTCCTGCCTCAGCCTTCTGAGTGTTTGGATTGTAAGCATGTACTACCACACCTGGCCAGAATCTCAATTCTATATTCGTATGACTTTACATCTTGGGGGTATATATTAAATGCTCTGCTGTTTACTACAGCATTTCAACTGGGATAATTTATTTAAAACATTATGGAAATATAAGTAAGACCTGACAGAGTATCTTTCATTTTAGGGGAAATATCTGGATATATTATAGAAAATGGGTATGAGAAGCTTTATTTCAAACTTTACTCTAACAATCACCTTGGGAAACTAGTTAAAATGCAAGTTCTTGGGCCACATCTGCTGGGATTTGACCCAAATTTTGTTTTTAATAAGCACTTTGAATCATTTTTATCTTTTGAACAATAATGTTTTAGTGAAACAGAAACTTCGATTCTCTCTCTGCATGTTAAAGTTTCGATTCCAAAATTCAGATGCCTACTCTTTGATGCCCATAACTAGGTATCTAAACATTAAGCTTAAATTTCCTAGGAAAAGTCAAAGCACAGTGCTACATATACACAGAGTGTACGCATATGTTTAAAGAACTCAAACCTACCTTTGCCCAATATCTAAATGCAATCACCAAAGGAACCAGCTTTGGCTCTAATTTTCCAAGGGCAGTTAAGTGCTTTGTTGTCAGACAAGCATTTTCATTTCCTGCACTCACTTTACAAAGAAGACCACTGGTGGGCATGAGGGTGAAGATGGGAGGGAAAAAAAGAAAGAAAAAAGTGTTATACAGGTATCAGTATTTTTTACACCAACAGCAAACTGACAATGAAAATAAATACCTTAAAATTTTTTAATGTCAGTTATTTCAAATGGGAGCATGTGTCATCTTTCTAAGAGTTTGTCCTTGAGTTGAAAGAATCTGCTTAATGAACAGACCACCCATTTATAGTGACAATGGCAATGCTTCCATACAAGGTGAGGTCACAGTAACTTAGTACTGCCCCAACGCTGCCAAGAAGGATGGCAAGCAAAAGGGGTGAGAGCAAGCAACCATTTTAGAGGTTTTTTTTAATATGGATGAAACAGGCTAAATGTTTTTTTCCTGTATTTTTTTCCTTTTAAGTAATTTTATTCTTTTTCAACTAAGATTTACCCCTCTTGCATCAAATTCAGGGACAATGCTAGTAAAAAGCATGTGAGACAACTATTAGGACCTCACAATTTTAGAAGTTGGACATTAAGATTTAGCAAAGACTTTTGCTTTTGACAAGCTGGTAGGTAATAAACAGCTTAAATAAACTGAGACCTTTGCTTTTCTCTGCACACCACCACCGGCACCCTAGCATGGAAATCTGCATCAACATCAGTAAAGGAGTCTGAGGAGAGAAGACAAAATATTAAATAGGTTAATTAAAGCACTGTTTAAAAACAGACCTAGATAAAGTACAAGTGCCAGTGGTAGCTTACCTGTTCAGCCTTTTGAAAGAGTATTACTAAAACAAACTCTGAAATGACTTAAAAAGAAAAAAAAATACTATATTCAAGAATCAAGAAGCTAGGTATGATGATTCACACCTAAAATCCCAGCACTCAGGAGGCTAAGACAAGAGAATCTGAGTTTGAAACCAGCCTGGGCTATATAAGACCCTGTCTCAAGAAAAGAATCAAATAACCACATTAATTAAAAATCTTTATTTTGCAAAGCTAATGTCTGATTAAAAATAACTATATCATTGGATCAGAACATTTGAATGTTATGTGGAGGGCTGGCGGAGTGGCTCAAGTGGTAGAGCACCTGCCTAGCAAGTGTGAGACCTTGAGTTCAAATCCCAGTACTGTTAAAAAAAAATAAAAATAAATGTTACATGGATAACAATCAGAAATATGGGTAAAAGATTTAAAAGCAAAACTGATGCAAAAGCTACTAAAATGGCCAGTGTCAAAGTATGTACTGATTGAAAAAAGACAAAATACTTAAATGTTTTATTCAATCAAAACAAAAAGGATAGGAATGCCTAATTCAAGGGATGGGACAATTTCATGACACCTATGTAAGAAAAAACCTCATAAAGCCCCAAGTTGGATATTATATCTGACAAGACAAATGATAAACCTACACAGAAACAACTATTAGTTAGTCCATTAACCAGGATTGGGTTACACCTATTTGCTACTTGTAACATACTGATTTCAACCACTGAATAAAGCAGATTATCCTTTAGTTTTACCCTTAAGAGTAAATTTTAAGCAGGGAGCTAGTGGCTTACGCCTGTAATCCTCGCTACTTGGGAGGCTAGAATTGGGAAGATCACAGTTTGAGAGCAGTTTGGCAAATAGTTCAGGAGACCCCCATCTCCAAAATAACCAAAACAAAATGGACTGGAGGCATGGGTCAAGTGGTAGAGTACCTGCTTTGCAAGTGCAAAGCCCTAAATTCTAATCCCAGGACCACCAAAAACCACAAAAAAAAAAAAAAGAGTAAGTTTTACATATTTTCCATTTCTTAGTCACAGTCTAGGACTTATTTAATGTTTATTAAATAATAAACATTAAATAGTGACACTATCATCAAGCTAAAAGCTTTACTTTGAAATGGTTATTCTGCATAGAACTACTAAGAGAATTCTAGTTAATAATTCATGAGCTTTTGGCTTATTTTTTCCTTTGGATATTACCCACATGAATAATTTTTAAAATGTGACTTTTAGAGTTTGATTTCAAGATATAGTCAAGACGAAAGAAAAAATTAATAGCAAAATGTGGAAAGAATTTGGCCTTACCACTGTTCTTTAAACATTCTTGAACAAGTAAGAGGACATCTGGCTGAGACATCTAGAAAATAAGTGAATGAATACATGAAATAATCCCTAAGTGTTTTTGTTTCACTGCTATAAAACACAGACTGAAGCTCCCCAAATTGCTTTCCAAATTAGAAATGCACAGTGCTACCAGAGTAAAGAAACTAACCATTATGCTTTGTGTACACATCAGTCAATGACAAGACAGATGAGCACCAAATGAGGATGAGTTTGGACAAAAGAGAGCTAACAGACCATTAACTTCTGATCAACTAATTCTACAGGTAACTACTTCTTAGCAATACTGCTAACAATGTGACCTCACATTCTGCCAGGACTATTGCAAATAGACAGCTTCATGATACTAACTTCAGTATTGCTTTACTCCAATCTTTGTTCCATAATGGAATCAAAACCATTTAAAATTTTGTACTGGTCCCCTAAAACTTTCAATGACTTAATACTGCCTTAGGTCAAAGTCAAACTCTTACCATGCCCTACAAGATCCTGCATGTTGGGCCCAGGCCTACCTTGCCACTCTAATCAGCTTAAATCTCCCCTCTTCAAAGGGACCCTCATTACTGCTCCACCTCTGCCCAGCACTTGTTTTCTGTGTGCTGTTTCCTTGCACAGCTCTCCTTTTCATAACATACGTAACTGCTTATCTCCTTCAGTAGCTATGAGTTTTATGAAAGAGGAACCTGTTGTGTATCTAATGTATTAGTGCCTGCAATACAACAGGGATTTAGTGAAGACTTGCTAAATGAATGAATGACACCAGATCAAAATAACTGCTAGGGTTGATAAATCACTGATCAGAATTTAAGGTTAAAAGGACAGTAAAATCAGGCTGGAGGTGTGGCTCAAGTGGTAGAAAGCTTACCTAGCAAATATGAAGCTCTGAGTTCAAGCCCCAGTACCATCAAAACAAGTAAAATTTACTGGTTAGCTGATCAGGCAGCCATAGCAGTCAAGCACAGCAAGGAATACAGGCTATGAAACAGAACCTCTGCGGCATAACCTTGGAATCTTCATTTTTAACAAACCACAAAGTAACTGGGCATACATCAACTGTAAACTGGCCGGTGAGAATCACCATGGGTAAAACGACAATCTACTTAAGTTCCTTCCAGTTTTAAGATTCTGACTCATCAACATCTTTCTGCATCACATTAAAACAGAAATCTAGGCTGGATATGGTTATTTAAAAGCAATTTCAGCTGGTAGCCAGATGGGAGCAAAGGCAGGAGGATCCTGGTCCAAGTTATTTGAAAAATAACTCAAGGAAAAAAGAGCTGGGGGCATGGCTCAAGTGACACAGCACCTGACTGACAAACCTGAGGCCCTGAATTCAAACCCAAGTACCACCAAAAACAAACCAATAAGTAAAATTATTCTTGATTAAACTGCTATGTGAGAGGAAATTCAGGAGCCAACTGAGCTTTCAGATCATCAATGTTTACATATCTGTGCTGTTTAAAACCTGAATTCCTTTCTTATCACTGAAGTTGGTTTTATGTGTGTGGTTTTGTTTGTTTGCTTTTGTGGTACTGGAGTTTGAACTCAGGTTCAGGTGCTCCACCACTTGAGCCACACTTGCCAACTCAGAAAGTTGATTTTAAAGAGAAACTCACCTTTTCAAGGCAAGAGGAACTTAAATACCTCGTAAGATTCACATGGTTAGAAAATCAACGTTATAAGTATGAAAGATCTATAAAGTAGTAAGTACAAAAATCTGTAGAGTATAAAAAAATTCTCTGAAGCTGTGAAGCTGAAGACAGGCAGAGGACATCGACATGAAAAATTCTGGAAAAAGCTATCATCCTTATACTTATCTAAAATATATATTCATATACTGTCACATTTGAAAGAATTTCCACCATTCTAAAATGTCAGCACTTCGTTTTGTACTTACGATGGCTGGAAACTGAATGTCAATGTTTACATCCGAATCTCTGAAACCAAATCTGCTACAGGAAGACCCATATAATCTTAGAGAACAATCTAGAAATAAATACATGAGTCATAAATTAAGAAAAATTTCTCAAAAGGTTTAACAAAATACTGCTATTTCAGAAACAGAAACATAGATTAAACTACACACAAAAGCAAACTGTATTCAAGTCTACCATACACAAAGGAGTCAATATTAATTGTTTTTTTAAACTTTTATGACTGTGTTTAGGCTTAATAGTCACTCTTGTCATATCACATGTAAAGCATGTTATAAATTTCTACATATTCATGCTCACATTTCGTGTAGAAAACTCTACTGGCAGTTGTTTTTAAAAATCTGAAAGTCAAGCCAGGCCTGGTGGTGCATGCCTATAATCCCAGCATTTAGGAGGTTACGGCAGGACAATCAAAACCATCACATAAAAACAATCTAATTAAAAATATAAGCTTTGGGACATAGCAATTGTTTTGTTTTGTTTTGTTTTTAAGACAGGGTTCTAGCTATGTTTCAGGCTGCCCATGGTTTGCCTGCCTCAGCCCTTTTTTTCTTTTTGGTGGTACTGGGGTTTGAACTCAGGGCCTCGCATGTACTAGGCAGGTACTCTGTAACTTGAGTCACTCCATAAGCTCTGTTTTGTGTTGCGTATTTCTGAGATAGGGTCTCACAAACTGTTTTCCCTGGGCTTGCCTCAAACTGTGATCATCCTGATCTCTGCCACCTGAGTACTTAGGATTACAGGCATGGACCATGGATGTCCAGCTGCCTCAGCCTCCTTAGTGCTGAGATTACAGATGTACACCATCATATCTGGCCAGCGTATGATTTTTTTTGTGCAAATTAATTTTTACTAGGTGAAAATGAGGTACTCTAAATAACTAAAGAGAAAAACAAATCTAGAAAATACCTGGTAACTTGTGCTGGAACACATCTTCCATGATACATTTGATTTCCAGCCTCTGTTCCAAGTTCTCACTGTGTAAGCCATATTCCTGCACCACTTTGTCAATGGCAATGCCCACTGCATCGATCTGGGAGGGTGCTGGCGGGGGTAACGTGGTAAGCAACTCTTCCTCCTGTTTTTCCTTTTAAGATCAATGTTAAGATTAAACATGATGTCACTGATACAGTGCCCTGTCTTAGCCCTCCTTTTGCCTCAGCTGTGTTAGCTGGCATCCTAACAAACATACTTTAGGTACATAATATGGAAAACAGAGAATTGGCAGGAACAGGAGAAAGTACAGGAAAAGAACACTAAAAATAGCAATCACAAACTGTTACTTGGTTTACTACTACCATAGGACATATCCCATGACTGCCTGTATCCTGACACTGTACTTCAGGAAATTCACAAGATGGCCCAGAAAATACATCTCATTAGTAGAAAGTATTTTGGCTAAAATAAATCCAATAAATAAAATATTAAAGTTCTTAATATTATAGCTTTAAGGAGAAGAAAGCCACAAAGAAGAAATGCAAACACTTGTTTGGGTTGCATGAAACTCACCTTCATGTTCTTCTTATGCCTCTTCTCTTTGATATGTTTGTGGGCAAGAGCAACAGACTCAATCAAAACATCACAGAGTTTGCAGGTGTACTTTGCTGTAGGGCAGTTCCGTGGCCGCTATGGTTTGAAAAGATTGACAGACAGATATAGCTCCAAATATGCATGCAAACAAAATTAGCCTGAAAATGATTTTCCCTTCACTTTTAAAATCACTACTTCATTACGGTCTTGTGTGATTACTATCCTATCAGCCATTTTTTTCTTAAGTATATGGCAATTACTCTTAATTCTATTAAATCACATTGAATATCACTTTTCACTTGTAGTGAGCACTGGTAACGAAAGTGGGACACATAATTCCTCAAGGCAGTTATTCCCCAGTTGCTAACATGATTGACTTTTTAACTAGCAAACATGAGTGAAGAGGTTACCCTTTTCAGCCTGTCAATGCAATCTCTCTTCAGCCGCTCCTCAGCCTGCTGCAGGCCTAACAGCTCCTTTGCTGAAAGCACAGACTCGTCAATCACAGGCCCTTCCAACTCTCCGTCCTGTTCATTTTCCTCATTTCTACTCCTCCGGGGCTTCCTAGGTCTTGAGCGTTGCTTCTTGTTTTCTTAAGTTAAGGGGAAAATGTTATTGGCAACCTTGAATAATACCACTCCACAGTAAAAAAAAGCAGAACATACATACTTACTAATTAAACATGTGATAGAATGAATAACATCTAAACACACAACAAAAGAGAAGGTGGCTTTCCATGGATAAAATGCTTGAATATTCAGTAAGCATGTCATCTGGACACAAACAATCCAGAGAAATCATATTGTAAAAGGAATTCTACTTTGATAACAAAATTTTATTTCATCCCTTTCTGGTATGCTGCTGAACATACTGAAGCAATAGTAATAGGTATAAGGTGGCTTATACCTATAATACTAGCTACTCAGGGAGCAGAGATTAGGAGGATCTCAGTTCAAAGCCAGCCCAGGCAAATAGTGTGCGAGACCCTATCTCAAAAAAATCCATCACAAAAAAGGGTTGGTGGAGTGGTTCGAGGTGTAGGCCCTGAGTTCAAACCCCAGTAATACAAAAACAAAACCAAAAGCAAACAGTTCCTCAAGACCCCATCTCAAAAATAACCAGAGCAAAATGGGTGGAAGTATGGCTCAAGTGATAGGGCACCTGCTTTGCAAATGCAAAGCCATGAGTTCAAACCCCAAACCCCAGTCCCACCAAAAAAAAAAAAAAAAATTATTCCCTGAAAGCAAGTATAATTGGCATTCTAACATACATTATACACATATATCTGATATATTCTAGTACACCCATAAATATACCTGACATTCTAATGAAAATTTGATTTTATTAAGTGCAAAATGAGCAATACTGTGCACCATTGGAGAACTCAGAAATCAACTGCATCCTTACCTGGAGTGAAGCGATCTATGAAAATTAAGCCTCAATGACACACAATTGGGGTTCTCCCATTAACAGTAAGAAGTAATCACTTTATTTACTGATTGTCACTTTATTTCTACTTTCATGAACTGTACTGTACTGAGCATATTTCACAGGGGAAAAAAAACCAACTAACTGGTAGCTGCCCAAGCTGCCTAGAACTTCTGACCCTCATGTCTCAGACGAGTTCTGGATTCTAGTCATCGCCACCATACCTGGCTGCACTCTGCTTTCTAATGAGACCCAGCCTAATTTAGTTTTGTCTGAACCAATTCCTTTTTTCTTTTGGCAGAACTGGGGTTTGAACTCAGGGCCTCAAGATCACTAGGGAGATGCTATACCACTTGAGTCACTCCACCAGCCCTATTTGGTATTGGGCATTTTCACGATAGGGTCTCGAGAACTATTTGCTGGGGGTGGCTTCTGATCTCTGCCTCTCGAGTAGCTAGAAACACAGGCCTGAGCCACTGGTGCCGTTAGTCTGAACAAATTTTTGACATGAGCACTTCTTTTCACTTAGAGTTGTCTAACCATTGGTTTTCATTTTCATTTTTTGGTTTTGGTGGTACTGGGGTTTGAACTTAGGGCCTTGCACCTGCAAGACAGCTGCTCTTCCATTTGAGCACCTAGCACAAGGTGTCTTCTCATTTAGTTTTCGAACCATCATAAACTCTAACTCAAAATAAACACATGTGATTTTAATGTTCACAACAGAACTTCCCAATGCCATCATGCATTAGAGATTTACAATTATATGTGCAATACCCTTTAGGAACATCTGTATGGGTTCCCAAAAATAGTAACTGACTTATGACTAGGTTACTTCTTTAGCCTCTCCTCCCTCTTGGTTACAAGAGCTTCACAATGTAACTAAGTGTATTTGCCTTCATTTTCAAGTGTCCTCTCTCCCTTCAAAGATCAAGGATTAGCTGGGCATGGTGGTCAGCTCTATAATTCCAGCACTCTAGAGGCTGAGGTAGGAGGATCCCTGAGTTCAAGCCCAGCTTAGGCTGTATAGTGAAGCCCTGATCTCAAAAAATAAAACAGAAGGAAGCAATAACTAACTCCTGCTTCTATACAGGGAAGGGAATGGCTGTACAAATTCTGTCCAATGATAACAGCAGTGGCCACTACTACTTTATTATGTTCACTGCCTCATTTAATTCCTACAGTAATCCTAACACAGATGCTAGTACTACCCCAATTGTACAGATAAAGACAATGCAAGTTCCAAAGAATAGTAACTTGTCCGAGGTCATAGGGTCAAGTCTAAGTAAAGATTTGAAATATTGTAAAGTATGGGATGGATTCTCAAATTCAACCTTCTGTCTCACAATATAGAAACTGAAAAGAGATTATGACAAAATTTCTTCTTGAAGCATACCAATTCACACCCAGAACAGACTAGAACTGACAAAGCAACATAACATTCTGAACTGAGTTTCACATGCCTGTAGCTATAAACTGTCAAATAAAACCTCATTGCAGGGACTCTTGGAAAACTCCCATAATTATTTAGAGGAAGACTACCTGGCTCATGCCAGGTTTAGTGTAATATGAGTTTTCTATATTCAGCATTGTAGTTTCCCATATTTTATCTGTATATGGTCCATTATTCCATTCAAAAAGGACATGTGTTTTCCAGCTAAGACCATTAATGGCATTGTCCCAAACACATTAAATTGGCAATCTAGCATATCTGAGATGAGGTAGAACTGAAAATTAGGAAGACAGTACTTAAAAACAAAAGCAACTCTAACATAATTTTCACTACATCTTCTCACATTGTCTAACAGACACTTCCTTCTAAGACCTAATTTTGATTTAGGGACATTTCAATCCCTTTAATAAGGGTCCTTTTTTTGGATCCTTTGAAAGCAGTGCAAAGTTTAGACATTAAACTGAATTTTGCTCTATAGTAAATAACATTACATAACAGCTTCATACTCCCTTTAGATTTTCAAGGGATAGAAGCCGAAGTTCATTTTTGGCTGTGAAAGTACGCACCCATACATCATATAGAGAGAGCATAGAGCCCAGGAAAATGCACTTCCTATTCTAACACACTTAAGCAACTCTCTTAGTTATTCTTAAGACTAAATCAGAATACATATGGCAAACAACCCCTTTTAATATGTCTAATCTACAAACTTCTATTTTTAAAATGCTTTTCAAGATCAAATTTTTTTGTTTTCTAAAAGATAACTATAGGTAATTAAAATGTCTACATTCTCCCTCAACACCATAATATAGAAATAAATATACACAAACTTTAAAAAAGAAAAAAGTCAACCAAAACCCCAAAAATTATCACAAATATTCACTTTCCCTGTCTGGACTCCAGGTCCAGTGAGGCTGAGATGACGGCCAGGGTGACAGTCCCCAACTTCATTTTCAATTTCGGTTTCAATTCCTCATGCACAATTCTGCATACACAAGTCTGGAGAAGTTTAACTCTCCACACTGTGTTGCCTAACTTGTAAAACTGTGTTTTTACCTCTGATATAACACAACAGGACTCCACCAGAAGACCCTTCCAGTTCTCTCTAGCTTAAAGATTTGTAAGACTAACATTTGTCTCTCTCTGCCATTTAATTCCTAACGCATCATACTATTCCTGCTACTTGATAATTGGCATTTACTCTTTATTTTCCTTAAAAAAAAAAAAAAATCACACAATCCTCTTTCTTCCATTTAATATTAGTAAGTGCTTGAGTCAGGCTTTTGTTTACATTTGGGGTTTTTTTTTTGGTGGGGGTGGGATTTTTTGAGACAGGGTCTCACTGTGTCTCTCAGGCTGGCCTTGAACTCTGATCCTCCTATCTCCCCTCCCAGAGTGCTTGGATTATGGGATTGCGGGCATGTACCACCATGCTTCATTTCAAGATTTCCATTTTTATCCTAAGACTTTCTAATGATAAGAGCCATGTCCCTTTTGAGCATTCTAGGACTGGTGGAGCGGCACAGGTGGTAGAGCACCTGACTAGCAAGTATGAGGCCCTGAGTTCAAAACATAGTATAACCCCTCCAAAAAAAATGATACCTTTTGAGCATTCTACATGCATGAGTTCCCAGTTCAAGTGCCTCACAGGTAAAACCAGTATGCACTGGCCACTAAAGAGCTAGAAAGTACCCACCGTGCTTGAATGCATTTAAATTCAAATTTCTTAAATGCTAGAACATTTGCAACCCATTCTGTATGATCAATAAAACAGGCTTTTAGCAAGTAAACATAAAAGCCAATTTTTCTAAGTATAATTTTCATACTAAATAATTTCATTTGTTTTCCATCCAACCTATGGCTTTACTGCACTTCAGCAAATATATCCATTAGACAAAAATAACCTGTTTTTAGAAATCACCGCTACTTGGACAAATTCTACTCTGCACCTTTTAGAAAAAACATGTAACTCACTTTGAAGTAATTATCAACCATGCGAAGTCACTTAAAAATGGATTCTGCTAAAAGTAAACAGCAAAGCTTTTACCTGTTCTGACTTTCTAAACTCATGTTTCCCAACATGCCTCACCCCGCCCCCAGCCCCTTGTGTAAGCCTGGCAAGTGATCTACCACTAAGCTACATCCACCCATGTATATATATATTTTTTTTTACTTTTAAGATGGTCTCACCATGTTGCCCAGACTAGCCTCAAATTCCTGAGCTTAAGTGATCCTGCCACCTCCCCACTTCTCCCAAGTAGCTGGGACTACAGGCATGTACCACCTCACCCAGCTGCTTCCTCTTGAAAAACAAAAATATAAAATTATCCTCCTCTGGAGAATGATACTGCGTTAGACATATATCCCTCCAGGTACAGGCAATATATGCAACCTATATTGTGTTTTTACATACATTAGGGTTTTTTTTCAGTATTATATTCTATCACTTATATTATGAACACATTTTATTATTTAAATACAAAGATTATTAACATAACTTTTGACAATACACACACACTACTCAGAAATACAAGGAGAGGAACATATGACCACTCTCTTCTATAAACAATAGGTTCACTAAAGTAAAATGAGCCTCATGGGGAAAGTAAACTCTTTTTATTTGGAGACATAAGCCAAGGCTGACCTGGAACTCATGTTCCTCCTGCCTCAGCCTGAAATTACAGGCATGCACCACCATGCCTGGATTAAATTTTTTTTGTTTTTTGGCCATAGTGGGGTTTGAACTCAGGGCCTCACACTTGTGCTAAAAACGTGCTCTACCACTTGAGTCATGCCCTCAGCCCTTTTTTGCTTTATTTTTCGGATTCAATGTCAAGTTTTTGCCTGCAGTCAACCTGAACCTCAATCCCTCACAGCTGGATTACAAGTGTGCACCACCACACCCAGAGGTTAAAAGTAAATTTCTGAAAAGACTAATATTTGAAATATGTTGAAGTTACCCAACTACCCTACTACAAACCTTAAATAGTCACATTAAACATGAAGCTCACAGCTGAAAATAAAAACTTATTAAATGAAAATGAGTATGACATTGCTGACTTTGGGGTGTAACCTGATGAGTTGGAACACATTACCAGGACTTCCTGCTTCCATTTCTGACATGGTTTCTAGGCTTGTTAGGTCTTTATGAAACAGTGGTCTTACAGTTCTGCAGCCTCTTCCATCTTGCCATCTGTAACGATCCTCACTTTCCTGAAACAAGTCTTTTCTTGGTCGGCTTGTGATAGGAATTCTACGTCCAGCTTTGTATTCTCTCCAACTGTCTGAATTACCAGTGAGTTCATCCGAGAGCCACCTCTTACTTTGATCTTTGTGGCTGTCATCCACCCAAGCGGGCTGACTGTAAATTGGGTTTTTAAATGCATATGGATTGTTGGAAACAGAGTAAGGTCCTTTTCTGGGCGTATTTCCATAGTTTCCGGGTGTTATCTTTTTTTTTGGAAGGCCCTTTTCCACTTTACTACTATGGCCTTTAGCATAATCGTCCATTATTAAATAATCTTGCTGGGGGTGACCCCTTCGAAAATCATCGTCATCAACAGTTCCTCGGTCTTTAGTACGCTTCACAAAGTAAGGTTTTGTTGCATCGCCCATGGTCTTTGACTTCAACTTTCTTACTTTGCACCTGAAAGAAGGCATTTGGGAAAACGACAAGCTGTAACATCGTACCAAGCACACAAAATGTCACATTTACCACAAAAATTCTATCACATTCCTAATAGTACATTACACTAAAAGTTAGGGGACTTAATCCTGTAACATTCATGAGAAGTACTACTTGCTACTTAATATGAAGATTAAATCTGTGGGTAAATTCCTATAATTCTGAGAACTGTAGTACAGTATGGTACTCATATCAAGTTGGTCAGCTTTTACCTAGTTTAACAAAAGAGACTCTCTTCAAAGTGAACATCCCAAGCCAATACTGTTACAAAACTCCCAGAACAGTTTTTTCCAGTTGGCAATTGCTTTTAAGCGTTATACAAAGTAACCGAAACTTTACCCGGACCGACTACATCTCCTCAGGCCGGCTCCCACGGCTGGGGACAACCCGACCGAAGGCCGGCACGCACGGGATCGCACAGCCGTCAAAAGGGGCGGGGGTTCCAACCTAGCGACAACGCCAGCAACCACCCAAGTCTCACTCTCTAGCCCCGAACAAGTTTGGTTTTGCCACAAACAGCAGTTCTCTGCAAAATGACACTCATATCCGAGCCCCATTTAACTGCCCCACCCATGATGTGCCTCAGTTTCCACCCTCCGCGATCCAGGCGGAGGAGGTGTCCCCGCACTCCTAGCCACGAAGCCACAGTGGGGACCAGGAAGCAGGAAGTGACCTGCCACCTCAATGGGGTCCTGGGGTTCCCCGGGCTGCCAGGAGGCCGGAACCGGTGCCTTGACCCAAATCCCTTCTTTCCTGTCGCCGCAGAGTCTGACACAAAGTGAAGACGCGGACTCAGCCCGAAAGCTCAATCTCCCCCGGCCCGGGGCTCCCGGGTCACCGAAACTGGGGCGAGGAGGCCGGCGAAGGATGGAGCCAACGTACCTCTGGTGCCAGGCCCGACCTCGTCTCCGGACACCAGGGAAGCCAGCGGAGACCCAGCCCAGAGGCGAGTCTGGCAGGGACGCGGTGCCCAGGCGCCCGGAGCGCTCACCACCTCCGCCGCGGTCCGCCGCCTCTTCCTGTCCCGGCCGGGCTCCCTCTCCGTGTTTTCCTTCGGCCCCACTTCCGGCGCTCAGCGCTGTCTCATTGTGCGCGATTGGGAGCCGGCGGTGCCCCCGCCCCTGCGCTCCCCCGCGCTCGCCGGAAACGCGCGCCGCTCTCGAACGACCGCCCCGCCCCGCTCCGCCCCGCCCCGCTCGCAGGCCACGCCCCTGCACCCATCGCCCCGCCCATCTCCTGTAGCCCCGCCCACCGCCCCCGCGCTCGGGTCCCAGGCCTCTGGAGTCCGGCCCGCCTGGGCTCGCAGCTCCGTGCTGAAGCGGCTTGCAGACTCTTCCGCCCACGGCCAGCCCTCTCCCGCAAGCTGCCGGGGCTTCCTTTCTCTCCGGCTTCCGGCGCTGAGAGCTCAGGTCAGCAGCTCTGCCCCTGACTCCTCGGTGCCTCCTAGGGAAACTGAGCCCTGGAAAGAACGGCGTGTTAGCATCGCTCTTCACCCAGATGTCAGGGTGATCCGAGAAGCGCACGCAGCTTTCTCAGATTGAGAACTAGTGCTACTCTAAAGAATGTGTGTCATTGTAAAGGATCGGGCAGGGGCTAACTTTACTCACTGTTTCTCAGACACGGTCTCAGTGTAGCCCAGGCTGGCCTCGAACTCAGGACCCTTCTGCTCAGCCTGCCGAGTGCTGGGATGCCTGGCTTGTTTTTCGGCTGTTTTGTTTTGGTTTTTGACTGCACGATGTTACCCACCTTGCTCTGTGGTGTTCTAAATCCTTTGAAAGCATGCAGCAACTAATAAGATTAGGGAGTGCTGGGAAATAGGGCAGTTTTTATTCCTCAGTTTCCCTACAGCATGTAAACTTAAATACAAACTGGGCGTGGTGGCCCCTGCCTGTAATCTCAGTCTCTCGGGATGTGGAGGGGGGATGGCGAGTTCAAGGTCAGTGGGGGCAAAAGTTCGCAAGACCCAGCAGCTTTGGGGCAACTCAAGCGATAGTACCTCTTGCTACACTCTTAAGATAATAAATACATGAAGTACCAACCATGGCCAATATTTGCTTTGAGAACTTTGCAAATATTAACTCACTTAATCCCTACAACAGCTACAGGAAGAAAATATGATTATACCCATTTTCAAGAGCAGGAAATTTAGCCCTTAGAGTACAGTAAAAAGAAGACTGAAATTCAAACCATTGGATCTCATCAGAAAGACTTTTTATTAGATAGCTGTACTGATGAGGTTTCTTTCTTTTTTTTTTTTTTTTGTCTTTTCTTTTTTGGTGCTGGGATCGAACCCAGGGCCTCACACATGCTAGGCAAGCGCTGTACCACCGAGCTACATCCCAGCCCTTGTACTAATGAGATTTAAAACACATTCCTACCACTTTGGTATACTTCCTTATTTAGATGTTTTGGTTCTGAAAATTTGTGGGAATCAAACTAATGCTCTGTTTGACAGGCAGTCAGTGGCCTTTAATATAGGGTCCAATGGAGGTGGTGATACAAGATAGTTCATTATGGGGCAGCAGCGTCACCACACCCACCACACCCGGGTGAGTAATTCCCCTGCAAAAGAACTGACTTAGGTAAATCGGCTACCTTTTCCTAGAATTTTAGAGGAGTAACAGAGCAGACATCTTTTTAGGGATTTAAAATATTTTGATTTACATTATCTTCTATGTGTTTCCCAAAGTTTTCTCATAGTCTGAGTTAGTGACTTTTAAGATTCATTGTGACAATGTACATAAAGACCCACAACAAAATACACCTTTATGTCCCTGTCATGCTGGAAGAATGTAAATTGGTCATGGGAATCCTTACAATCCGTTTGAAAAGTATGAATTTTCTTTGGATGTCCTCGGAAGGAGTACTGACTTTCTCAGAATGTGGTGATTGCATATTTTCAACAACTTGGATCAGAAATGTGGGGGCGGGGCGCCCTCTGGTTTGGAGACAGATGTATATTACACATTGTTTAAAGGACACTAATATTAGTCCATGTGTTACAATGTGTCTTCTATCTTGAATGTTGACAATTAGCCTTTAGCAAATCCAAATCCAATGGTCTTCTTCCAGTTAGGCCATGGTGTCAGAAGTGTAAGGATTACCCAGGCTCAGCCCTGTAATCCTAGCTACTCTGAGGCAGAGATCAGGAGAATCGCAGTTTGAAGCCAACCCAGGAAAACAGTTCATGAGACCCTATCTTGAAAAAAACACATTACAAAAGAGGGCTGGTGAAGTGGCTCAAGGTATAAGCCCTGAGTTCAAGCCCCAGTACCAAAAAAAAAAAAAAAAATCAAAAAAGAAGTGTAAGGATTAATCTCCAGCACTACAAAAACCATACAGAAGTGCAAGGGTTCAACCAATTTTCTTCTCCAATGCTTTTTATCCACTGTTAGAAAATTATATAGGCTCTTCCTTTAATATCTAGGAAAGGAAAACAAAAGAAAGATAAATATGTCCAGAGTCCAGTGACTTTTGGCCACTTCTGTGGCTTATAACCTGGTGCTGAGGCAGGCTAAAAATAGGGAAAGAGTGGGGTCTTAAATTTATATAATTTAACCAAGGGCCTCTCAGATTAGACATTCTCTAACCACTCAGAGCCTCCTTTTCAATTGCAAATCCTCTGCTAGCTGCAGAACTAGCCAACAAAATTAGAACCTTCCATCAACATGAAGTCAGGGGACCTAAGAACCTAAGTGTATGCACAGAATAACTTCAATCACCCTCGACAGACTCACGAAACTGCCTCAATCTTTCCCCACCCATAGACAATTACACTGTAGGATGAAAACCTGAAGTTCTTACAATAGCCACAAAGCCCCTCCTTTACCTTCAGACCTCATACCTTACTCCTCTTGCCCCTGTGATAGAGCATGGAGTATATTTGAACTTTGTCCTGGTTCCTGTCTTGTTTTCAGATAGGGTTTTCTGATATAGCCCAGGCTAATCTTCAACATGAGATCCTCCTGCCTCAGGCTCAAGAGTGTCAGAATTCCAGATGTGTCCAGGTATGTTCCTCCACACCTGGCTCCCTTTTTTTTTTGGCAGTATTGGGGTTTTGAACTCAGGGCCTCCCTCTTGCTAGGCAGGAACTTTACTGCTTGAGCCACTCCACCAGCCCTCTTTTATGCTGGGTATTTTCAAGACAGTGTCTCACAAACTACTTGCCCAGGTTGGCCTCAAGCATTGATCCTCCTGATCTCTGCCTCCTGAGTAGCTAGGATTATGGGCATGAGCCAGCAGTGCCTGGCCGCTTACTGTCTTAAAACTCAAATATCCTGAGTGATCGGAGTCTCTTATTATTCATAAGGAGCTCCTGTGATAACACTTGAGTTTATACTAATGAGGTCAGAAGACATCCCAAAGAGTGGGATTAGAGGATTGGAGGGGTTGAGCTTTCAGCCCCACCTGCTTCTGAGAAAGGGAGGGGGTGTTAGGGATCAAGTACACAAAAAAATTGAACCACAAGATTTGATGAATTCCCTATAACTGAGGTGCTGGGAGGGCAGTATCTCTTCATAATAAACAGGTGAGTGTCTCCCCAAGTTCTGTGAGCCTTCCTAGCAAATTAATTGAACTGGAGAAGGGAGTCATGGGAGCCCTGTTTGTCGTATGCAGATAGCTCAGACTTGTGATCTGAGTCTGGAGTAAGGATGTGCCATGAGGCTGGCCCTTCCACCTGTGAGATCTGCTATTACCTCCTGGTAGATAATGTCAGAATTGAACTGATTTATAGGACACAAAGCTGGCTCTGACTGGAGAACTGCCTGGTTTGTGGGAGAACCTAAGCCCAGACCTCAGGTCACGGAGATGTGCTGTGTAGGGTGTGACAAATCCCCCCTCGCTCCACTGTCACCACGCCAGCCTTGCAATGTCTCCGTCAGAGTCTTGTCCCATTCTTCAGGACATTTCCTGAGGTTTCTGCATTGCTCCATATCCTCCTCCCTTCATATCTGCTCAAAGGTCACATCAATGTGGCCACTCTGACCACCCATTTATTTATGTAGGTAGTTTTTACTGTGGTGGGGATCAAACCCAGCACATGCTAGGCAAATACTCTACTGAGTATACTCAGCCCTCTGACTATCCATTTAAGTTGCAACTCACCAACCTCCCCTCTGTGTTCCCAGTCATCTTCACCTATTACAGCTTTTTTCTCTTGTGGCATTATTTACACCTTGTAACAGGCACTTATACCACTTTTGTTGAAAAGTACTGACTCTTTACTTGGGCCCACAAATTAGCCCAAAGCAGGAGAAAAACTAGGCATCCTGCCTCATTGCCATTCACTTTGCACTCACCTTGGAATCCAGAAAGGTCAGGACTGATCAATAACTTCTATGATGAGGGACTGAAACTATCCCTGAGCAACTGTGACCCTGGCAGACCACCCCTGAAATGAGGGCAGTCACCTGGAGAGGAGTAGTCATCTCATGGGAACCAGATAGCTCCCTTCAAGTGATGACAACCTTGATAACTTCTCTGGAACCCTCAGAGAACAAGGACTGAGATACTGATCAACCTGGCCCCACCCAACAAGTCCTGAGACAAGAACTGCTAGACCATTGCTGCCACGCCTGGCCACTGGACTGCTCCTGTAACAGGGACTGCTTATGCTCATCTCTCACCTCTTCCCAAGTTCTTCCTCTACTTAACCTAAGGGTTATGTCTATACCCTGACAATGGACTGAAGTGCTTACTTTGCCCCTTCCCATGGTGTAATACTGGGCCGAATAATATATCTCCTTTCTCTGCCCTTAACCATTTCTGTCTATTTGGCATATAAAAACAATGATTTCAATATTATTTAGCTATTTATTACAATTGTTTCTTACCTGTCTTCCTCAAGTAGAATGTACATTTTAAAAAATCGGGACTTTATCTGGTTTACATCAGGTTCTCTGAGAATATTTGTGGAACAAATGAAAGTTACAGAGCAAACCAGTCTCTACAGCAATATTTCTTCTCACTCTGTTGCCTAGGATGGCCTCTTCATTCTGAACTCAAGTGACCCTCCCAGCCTCAGCCTGCCAGACTCACTGGACTGGTCCCCCTCTTTTATTAAGGTGTAGAAGTCCTCTTTCAAAGGCCTG